TTCTTTTCCAAGGATCTTAGAGAGCCCACGTGGAAGCAGTGGAGAGAATTCCTTGTCAAGTACTCCTTCCTTCCGTACCAGCTGATTGCTGAATTTGCTTGGGACTGGCTGGAAGTCCATTACTGGACGTCACGGTTTCTTATCGTCAATGCCATGTTACTCTCAGTTCTGGAATTATTCTCCTTCTGGAGGATCTGGTCAAGAAGTGAACTGAAGTAAGTATGTTTCTATGTAGGAGATGGTTGGAGCAACAAGGGCTGGGAAAGAAATACCAAGTGGGCAAAAGATAATCTTGGAAGTATCTCTCACACTTGAAAAGGAAATAAATCCTCACCTACCAAGACTCCTCAGACTCGGGTTTGAGAAACACTACTTAAGCAGTGAATAGGAAAATTACCTTGTGTTGGGAGTGGGGTTTTTGTGGTGCTCGTTGTTAAAGTGTTCCCCTATATATTTTATCCCTACATCATAATATGCTATATAATTCCTTTGGGGGGGTGGGTACATGAAGGATTTTAATAATCAAGGAATAAGCAAGTGAGAAGAAAAGGGCCCTTTATGGAAAATGGCAGTAAGCTAGAGCATAAAGAGATCTGACAGGGAATTCTGTAGGCATGAGTTCTAATTCCAATTTGCCACCAACTGGGATAATAATAATTTCTCTGGATGGATGCATAAAATAAGAGCATTGGACTAGACAGCCTCTGAGTCAGGACTCTTGGTTGCAAGTGACAGAAACGAACATAAACTGGCTTTACTAAAAAGGAAATGCCCAGTCAAGGCTTCCAGGATGGCTGGACCCAGAGACCCAAATACTGTCATCAGGACTGACTCCTCCTCTGCCTCTCTTTCCCACATTGTTCAGCCTCAGGCAGCTCTTTTCTGTGTGAGGGCCCTTGACCGCCCCAAGCTTGGATCTGAGCACTTAGCAACCCTGCTGGAAAGCATGCACTTCTTCCCTGTAGCACTGGGGAAAGTCCCAGGGCTCACACTCCTTGGCTAAGACCAGCCCATCCTGGGTTACATGCTCACCCACACCTACCACTCCAGGCAGGGCATACAGGGCTCTCCCTGGCCAGGCTCAAGGCATGGGCTCACCCCACAACCAGACCCACCCAGGCCACGTGGAAAAGAATAAGGGAGGGTGACCCCCAAAGGAGGACTCAGAAGCTGTTTCCAGAAGAAGGGGATGGCTGTGGGGCAGGCAGGAATAACACTGCCACCCACCAGCAACCTTTCAGCGTGACATCCTGGGACTTACCATTAGAAGCAGCCTTATACATAGTTCTAAGAACCTCCCTCATTTATTTCAAGTCTGCAGACTCGTCTATTCATGCACAGAATATGCATGTTCAGTCCCCCGCTGTACCCCTGGCTCTGTCCTGGGCACTTTCTCATGTCTTGAGAAAGAGGACAGGCAGTCTGTATGCTGAGGGCCTGAAACCTAGCAGAGAAAATATGTATGCTAAAAACTGTGTGTAAGTGTGATGCTATGATGAAGCAGTGAGCCTGGGGCTGCAACAGGGAGGCGTCCCTGGTGTGGGGCCCTGGCGACAGCGCGCTCTCCAGGCTGTGCACTGGGAGGTGAAGATGGGCTGGTCAGACAAGGTACGTCTCAGGCCCCGGGCACAGAAGACCAGGTCTTTACAGCACAAGGAGCCACACTCTTGGAGGCACTGGGAAGAGGCCTGGGGTCTAAGCACTTGGACGTCATCATTAGAAACACCGCTGAGATTCTGCCTCTGAACCTTCTCTTCTTTTTTCAGGACTGTGCCTCAGAGGATGTGGAGCCATTTTTGGAAAGTATCAACGCAGGGGCTTTTTGTGGCCATGTTCTGGCCCCTCATTCCTCAGTTTGTTTGCAACTGTTTGTTTTACTGGGCCCTGTACTTTAACCCAATTATTAACATTGATCTCGTGGTCAAGGAAGTCCGACGGCTGGAAACGCAGGTGTTGTGACAGGCACTGCCCAGGCTCTGAGAGACTCTTCAGGTCCCCCTGATGTCTGAGCTCGATGCTTAGGAGCGGGGAGGAAGGGAGTAGACTGCCTAATTTCTACCCCTTGTATGACAAGGTGCTGCTTTGTATGTGTAAGGCTCCAAAGAGGTCCCTCTGCTTGTGGCATCACAGCAGGGACTGACATCCCACCGCATGAAGGACTGGCTGTCTGGCCAACACAGCGGCAGCCCCCTGCCACCCAGTGCCTTCCTCACAGGGACTTGGGAGGCTCCGTTCACAAAGGCTGGCAAGACTCAGGGTCCTCAGACAACACAGTGTGGGTGATATTAGGAAGCTGCCACATCAGCAGTCCCCCTGGCCCCAACCTCAGTGACTGACAGAGGTTCCCAGAGCCTGAGACCAGGCTTGTGGGGCCAGCCCGGACCTATAAGTCAAGTTTAGGAAAACAGGGATGAGATTTTATCATAAGCGTAGACAGTTGCACATAAAAACAGAGGAAACTCCCAAATTCAATCGATTCTATTTTATGGAGGGAGTTGCTAGGTTTCAGAGTAAAACCTTCGAAAGGCTTCAGTTTGAGAGTAGAATGACAGACTCGTAGTCACTGTTTTTTCATTGTTTTGTTTTTGTTTTGCAATCATTGGAGGTTTGGATCCCTTCTCAGGGGGGAGATTGATTGGACCGTCAGGCAGTTCACAGAGGGCAGTTCCCATCAGGCTGAGCTGCCTCAGTGCTACTTAATCAGTCGTTCTTTGGGGATTTGTTAGTTTGTGTTTTTCAGAATGTAAAGTAAACTTTTGTTCAAGGAAATATTTTGTAAATTGTCCTCACATTGTATAATCTTTATTGTCTCGTCCTGTTCTGATGTATAAAACAGCAAGCCTAATTATGCCAAGTGCCGTAATTATAAATATGGAATGAAATGAACTATGGCCTTTTCTTTTCTTCCATTGTGAAAATCGTGAGTGTGGAATGTGATCTTCCTGAAGATTGGCCTTGCAGAGATAAGCTTGCTTCTACAGTGTTTTTTCATGACTCCATGAGCCATTCATTAACCCTTTGTATCTTTGAGTGAAGATCTCTCTCCAACTTTGTATGTGAAGTTTTGAAGAAATTACTTGAAATAAAGATTTTTATACAAATAAAACCTCTATGTAGAGAAAAACTGATTGTTTAGTAAACATGAAAAAAAATCTGCATTGGCTGATATAATCTACTAGTCAGCTTAAGTCCCCCAGCCTGACATGAACATTGAGCCAAGGAGCCACCCTGAGGTATCTTAAGTGGCAGGAGCACAAGTGTTTTTCTTTCTCCTCTGTTTGCTCATCATGCCCAAGGGCTGCCTGACTTTCCCTATTTAACTCTTGTGACCTGCCCAGAGGCACTGACCCACTGTGGGTCTGGGATGCCACAGTGTTTGTACATCCTTGTACATCCTGGTCTCATGTCTTATAGGGTCAGTAGTGTTCTCCTTTACAGGTGAAGAGATGGAGGCTGGCTGGGCCTGGGCCCAACCACAGGTTGCCAGGGCCCAACCACAGGGCCAGTGCCCTACACCCCATGGCCCCCCCAACTGTCCCCACTTGTGCCCACACCCTGCTTCAAAGATGAGTGATAACCAGATCTGCTCTGGGAAGGAAGGCAAAGGAAACTTGGCCTGGAGCAAACAGGCTGGGCTGGAGTCTCCTCCTTGTCACCAGCAGGAGGGACAGACACACTTAGGTCAAGGGCTACAGGCTGCCTCTCGCCTCTCTCGGAAGCTCATACCAATATAGCAGGTTTGGGTTCATCAAAGGAGGTGTTTAATATATTCAGAATTCCATTTCTAGGATCTGGCTGGTTAGCTCACTTGATTAGAGCATGGTGCTGATAACACCAGGGTCAAGGGTTTGATTCCTGTACTGGTCAGCCACCAGGAAAAAAAAAAAAAAAGCCCTAAGAATGCCATTTCTGCAAATCTGGGCTAAGGAAAAATCAACAAAAAAGCTGGGGGTTGGGGGGCAGTAAAGATTTATTTACAAGCATTCTCTTCACAGTAATTGATAAACACAGGAAACATCTCAAATATCCAAAAGCTAGCAATCTATAAAATGGTATTTAACACAGCTGCTTAGAAAGAAATTTTGAAAGATTTTTAATGACATGAAGAAAAGCTTATGAATATCATATGGTATAATCTCAACCACATTTTTTTTTTTTTTTTAAAGATGACTGGTAAGGGGATCTTAACCCTTGACTTGGTGTTGTCAGCACCACTCTCACCCAGTGAGCTAACCAGCCATCCCTATATGGGATCCGAACCCGTGGTCTTAGTGTTATCAGCACCGCACTCTAGTCAGCACCACTCTCACCCAGTGAGCAAACCGGCCATCCCTATATGGGATCCGAACCCGTGGTCTTAGTGTTATCAGCACCGCACTCTACCAAGTGAGCCACAGGCCAGCCCTCAAGCACATTTTTAAGAGCTATAGAAAAAAACTGATGGACAGCATGCTCAGATGCTAACAGCAATTGTTCTGGATTGTGGGAATTAGAGTGATTTTCTCTTCTTCTCTAGGATGATTTTGTATTTCTCTGTATTTTCCTTTTTTAAAAAATGAGTATGTACTAATTTTGTAATCAGGAAATAAATTTTAACCATTAAAGGTGGAGTCATAAGCTGATAACTACTAGACTTGAACTTCACAAGGGTGGGTGTCAAGTGGCCGTCTTGTTTATTGCTGCAACCCAGAACCCAGAACATTGCCAGGCACAGTAGATGTTCCTTCACATTTGATTACTGGCCATCAGGGGCAGGTTAGAAGACAAAGCCTACCTTTTCATAAAGTTTGAACCTCAAAAATGGTACCAAACCCAATCAACAAAGTCATAAACACAGTCATAGTTTAATAAAATAGGCACAGGACTTCTGACCTGAATCAAACTGAAAACCTAAACAGGCTCCAAGCCCAAGTTCCAGGATGGGGAGAAAAAGCAAACATAAAAGTTGCAGCTTTATCTCTTGGCCTCAATTCCCTTCTGCATAGAACTGAATGCTGATGTTCATTAATGAAAATGAGCTTTATTTCCTTGCACAAAAGAACATTTCAAGCCAGGTTGGTCAGTCACACTTGGGTGAGTCCTGCTCACATAAAAACTGGGGGTAGAAGAGGTACTTTAAGTTGTACTGAGTTTCAGCAAAGCAGTGAGCAACCTCCTGGTCACACTTGCACAAAAGTTCTTGGCATTCGTTCTCTGTTGGTCCTGGAAGAAGTGGGGAAACTGAGATTAGAGCAAGAATCTGCAGAGATTCAGTAAACATGAGGGAAGCCAGTAAAGCTGGAGGCAGGACTTGTCATAAGTCGCTTTTGTGTGACATTTGGCAGTTCACCATGTGATCTCCATTGGCACGGAAACTCCAGGAGACAGGTGATGTCAGTGGCGTTTTACAGAAAAGGAACCTGAAGTTTCAAATGGAGAATCCTAAGTGCTAACAACCTTTGACTTCTCTCCTGCATCAATATCACACTATTTCTTTTGGGGATCCATTATATAAGACACTAGGTGCCCGGCAAACATCCCAGCCTGTATTCAGAATGCCTGCTCTGCTACTTCCTAGCTCTGTGACCTCGCCTAACCTTTCTGAGCCCAAGTCTTCATTTTAAATGGATGCATTCTCCAATTTGCAGGGTTATTAGGCAGGCTGGGTGAGAAAGCCTATGTAAAATGCCCAACAGGGGCTTGGTACTGGACATATACTCCATCCACATTGGCTCCCACCTGCATTACTCTGCCTCCTTTCTCCAAGTCTCTTCCAGATGACCCTTAAAGAAAAACAGCTTATTTTGGGTAACAATCATGTACTCTCTGTTGCCCTATCTTATACAAACATGCAAAAGTTGCCGCCCAAACATGTCTCCTTCTTGGTTGGGAATTCCACTATTAGAGATTCATTCATTTGGCTTGAAAAGATTTTGTAATCTTCAAATCATATCTTATTTATCTAGAACATATAATGCCTTAAATAGCTATGGATATGTCACTTAATGATGTCACCCACTGCCCTTTAGTGTGGGCTCTTAATTATTCACATAAATGAAAAAAAAAATAGCCACTAATAAATCCTTCCCAATTCCTTCAAGAGGCACAGTGAAGCATGAGTGTTGGAGTTAGCTGGCTCAGCTACAGATTTAGCAGCTCTGCACCTTTGGACACATCATTTCATCCTTCCCAGACTCACTTTCCTCAGGAGCAACATGGGAATAACAATAGTAGCTACTTCTCAGTGTTGTTGGGAAAATAAAAAGAGACCAAGTCAGAAAAATGCAGGGCATACGTAGATATTCAGGAAGCAGGAATGGCCTCCTTAAGCTGCCAGTTAATCTTTAAAGAGCCCTCCTGAAACGTACAAGTTCCTGGGAGATCCCCAGGAGACAAAGCGTGAGAGTCAGAAAGTTCATCAGCTTCTTTCTGGGGGCAACACACAGAGTGCTTGGCAGTACCAGGAGGGGACAGAGTGGTGGGTGAGGGATCTAGCAGGAAGGCAGGGGGCCCAGGACCATCTGGCGATCATCTTTCCAGGCCATATAGTGAGCTGAGCTGATTAAAGAAGTTTATCTGCATGGCTATGCATAGGTCTTCCCAAACTCAGTCCGGGGTGGCAGCTTCAAGATTACTGCTTTAAATCTCTCTCCCTTTTCAATATTAAGTCAATTATTAATTAAATAAATAAGTTACATAAAGTTATAATTTAATTATATTAAATTGTATTAAATTACATTAAATGAATTTTATCACTGCTGTAAGTGGAAAACCAAAATCTTATACCATAAATATAAGGAGTCAATTAAATACCAAGCAAAACCAAACAACATCAACAATAAAAACCAGTATAGTGGATTGAATTATGTCCCCCCAAAACTCACTGGAGCTTGAATTGTGTTCCCCAAGTTTTATGTATTAGAAACTTGGCTCCCACTGTAACTGTTAAGAGGGTGGGAATTCCTATCATGGTAATTGAGAGGTGGAGCCTTGAAGAGGTGATTGGATTGTAGGACTGTGCAATAGAGAATGGATTAAAAATGGTGGTCAGGGGTGTGGTTCTGAGGGCTTTAAAAGATGGGGAGAGTACATCTCTGCTCTCTCTGCTTCCACCATCTTACAATGTGAGACTCCTGGGTCGCTGTCACCGTCACCAGATGGACTTTGGACTTCCTAGTCTCAGAAACTGTAAGCAATAAATTTCATTTTCTTTATAAATTACCTAGTTCCAAGTATTTTGTTATAAGCAACAAAGATGGACTAATACAACCAGTAAAAATACAATTCTAGTGTTAAGGTCTAGTTGATGCTGATTGCTACCTGAAGGCTGTGAGCCCCCAAATTGGGGTGCCTTGGTTAAGAATAAGGGAGATTAGTAAGTGTAAGAGAGGCTTAACCCCTCTAGTAGTCAGAACATCCTTGCCTAGATGGAAAAATTAACAGAGGACTGAAAGGGAAAATCTCATTTCCATCCATTTGATAGGCTTCCCACACTCTAAGAAACATTCTTGGGTTGGAGGGCAAAACACAAACACCCCCAGCTCCAAAAGCCTACTTTTAAACACTCTAAAAACTGCCTCAGTTACAATCCATTAAGTGGACAGCAACACAAGGAGCAATGACGGGAACCAGCGTTAATCGAGCAGTTGTGCAGAGCCAGGTGGTGGGCAAAGGGCTCTGTTGTCCCCATCTCATCCAGTCCTCTAAGGGCAGTGCCATCAGCCCCCCCGCCGGCCACCTTACAGAAGGGACATCCAGGAAGCATCAAGGGAACCAGGGCCCCACCTAGCTCAGCCTGACACAGACCTCCTCCTCCATCTTACCGTGGCATGGCGTGTCTGTCTGCAGGAAGGGGAGAGGGAGTCAACTCAGGGGCTGTGTCTGCCCTTACAATTCATGCCTATAGCAGAGGATTGTTTAATAGAGTTTTAATGGCATGGAAACAGCTTATGCTTACGAGGGCTGGCCGGTTAGCCCAGGTGGTTAGAGCACCATGTTGATAACACTGAGGTCAAGGGTTCGGATCCCTGTACTGGCCAGCCACAAAAAAAAAAGAAAGAAAGAAAGAAGAAAAGGAAGGGGGGTACAAAACATACTGCTATATATTTTTTAATTATGAACTTGAAAAAGAAGACAGGAAAAACACCAGAAGGTTAACCAGTGTTCGTGTGTAGTGTCTACAGGAGTTTTATTTCCTCTACTTTTATATTTTGTAACTCCAGACTCTCATACTTTGAGCCATATGATGCTTTCATCACAGAAAAATCAGTCTTATTAACAAAAGTGGAAGAGCAGCTATTTCAAGGGCTGATTTATAACATCTGTTAAATCTGAAATATCTATACTACCCACTCAGTAGCAGCACCAGAGGAGGTGGCTTGTGGGGGTTTGGGGGACCCAGTCCTCCCTAATCTTTACCAGGTCTCTTACCCCCCTCCCGAGCCTCTACAAATAAACACAATTTCCATTTTTTTTAAATGCCCTTGCTGCGTAAGTTTCCCTTCACAGCAAGTCCTACAACCACCCTTTCAGGTTGGCCCCCAGCCCTTCCCACATACAAACTTTAGACGAGCCTCAAAAACACCAATTGACCCAGCAATTCTAGGACTTGAGGCTACAAAATCTTGTGTGAGGACACAAGTGCACAAAGATTTATGAACATCCGTGGTCTCTGCAACTGTTCATTGCAGTTGATTGGGAAGTGGTCATTAAAAATAAAGTACAATCATCCCTCGGTATCCCTGGGGGATTGGTGCCAGGACCCCCAAGGATGCCAGAATCCATGATGCTCCAGTCCCTGATATAAAATGACACAGTATTTGCATATAACCTGTGCACATCTCCCATATACTTTAAATTATCTCTAGATTACTTATAACTCCTAATACTATGTACATACCATGTGAATAGTTGTTTACTGTATTGCTCAGGGAATAATTATAAGGGAAAAAAGTCTGTAACTATTCAGTACGATGCAACCATCATAGCCCTAACTACATTTTCAATCAGGGGTTAGTTGAAGCCATGGATGCGGGACCCACAGACAGGAAGGGCCAAATGTACATTTGTGTCATGGAGCAGTCACCCTCCACCACAGGCAGTTGGGTCTCCCAAGGGCATTTGGCAATATCTGGAGACATTTTTAGTCGTCATAATAAGGTAGGGTGCTACTAGCATCTAGTGTAATAGAGGCCAGGAACCCTACAATGCACAGGATGGCCCCCCACAACACAGAACTATTTGGCCCCAAATGTCAATAGTTTCAAGGTTGAAAAGCCCTGCCATAGGTTATTACTAACTTTAAAAGAATGACGTCAACCCATATGTTCCAAGATGCCCAAGACACAATGTTAAGTGAAACAAAATTATAAAATGTATGTATTGTGATCTGAATATAAGTGTGTGTGTGTGTAAATAAACACATACACGAACAAATCTGGAGGAAGAGATGCCAAACTTAAGAGAGGTTAGTTAATTCTGGTGGATGGAGCATAATTTTCTATATTAGAATATTTTTTTAATATTTGAATTTTTTTACAACAAACATATATTAGGTTTGAATCAGAAAAAGCATATAGATGAATAGATGGATGAATGGATGGATGGATGAACAGATGGATTAAAAATCATGTATAAAAATTGGTAATAGAACCAGCCAGTGCAGGAGCAAGACCCCCTGCCCATAAATTTTTCATGGGCTGCTGCACAACAGAGACTCTCAGAGCAGTGTGACATGGTGGAGTGGAGACCCCTGAGGAAGGAGCCACTGCAGCTGCCTGGCTATCACCCAAGGGCAGCATTCAGAGCTGGCTGGAGGCTGGCTGTGCAAGGACAAGAGAGAAGTCAGCCACAGGTCAACTGGACAAGTACCCCAGCAGGTCCTTCTTCCCCTCACACCTTCATCTGTCCACTGGCATGTCCTACAGCTTCCCTGCTATAGTTTGAATGTCCCCCAAAACTCATATTGAGGCTTGATCCCTGCTTGATCCCCATAGTGTTAGGAGGGTGGGAAATCTGACTATGGTATTAGAAAGGTGGGGCCTTTGGGAGGTGATTGGATCTTGAGAGCTCTGCCCTCATGAACAGATTAACTAATGGGTTAATGGTTTAATAAGTTATCACAGGAGTGGCACTGGTGACTTCATACTAAAAGCAAGTGAGTACGTTAACATGCTCAGCCCTCTTGCCGTGTGATCCCCCTGCAGTGCCTGGGGACTCTGCATAGAGTCCTACCAGGAAGAAGGCCCTCACCAGATATGCCCCCTCAACCTTGGACTTCCCAGCCTCCAAAACTGTAAGACAAATTCCGTTTCTTTATAAGTCTCCCAGTTTCAGGTGTCCTGTTATAATTAACAGAAAACTGAGAAATACATCCACCTTCCAAACAAATTTGCCCAGAAGCCAGCCCCTTCCACCACCTCCATTGCCACCATCTGCCCAAGCCACCTCTCACCAAGACACTGAAACAGTCTCATAATCAGTGACCGGCTTTACCCTTGCTCCGTCCAGGAAATGTCCCATGCAGCAGTAACAGTGGTTTGGCTAAAATGCAAATCAGATAATGTCCCTCATCTGCTCAGAACCCTCCCTGGCTCTCCATCTCTCTCAGAGGAAAACCTCCACTGCCCTGTGTAATCTAGCCCCCCTCACTCTGACAGCATTGCCGACTGCTCTCACCCTGGGCAACTCTGCTCTATCCTCCCCGTCCTCCTTGCACTCCTTAGAACACCAAGGCACTCATTCCTACCTCAGGGCCTTTGTACTAGTGTTCTACCACCTCTTC